CTGTTTCCTAACATCATGCTTATCACATCTCAGGCTTTTATTTACTGAGGACACTGAGCTCCAAGTTTGGGTGGCAGCCGGGCACCCCAAAGTCCCCACAACCTCTCCCGTTTTGTTTGTTTGTTTTTGCTTTTGCTTGTTATATCCTTTGGCTTCTCTTCAAGAGGAATCTTTGGCTGAATCAGAGTCATAATCCCAGGCTCACTGAGCGCTCACTCATGCCTGACAGCACTCACTCCCTTGTGCATGGTCTTGCGGATACCCCACACTCCCAGGGTTGTGGTACACCCCCACTTCTCAGAGAAGGGAGTCGGGCTCAGAGAGGTTAGGGAGCTTCTCAGAGATCACAGTGGCAGAGCCTGACCCTGCTGGATTCACACCCCTACAAGCTCAAGCTCAGCACACTCCCCTGGGGCCTGACTCCACTCCTGGCGTCACTGGGGTCCGTGGGCAGGGGGAGCACTGAGCAAGGCGGGGGAGTTAGGAGACTATTCAATTCTATGGACCCCCCACTCCTGCCCCACCCCCTCTCCTCCCACACACCATGGCATGGCCCTGTGGGACAGAAGAAAAGAGCGGGCTCAGTGGGGCCAGCTGTGAGCCAGGGTGATGGTTCTCTTGTCTTAGCCATAAGTGACCTTGGGCCAGTCCCTTTTCCTGTCAGGGACTCAGCAGGCTCCTGCAGGGCCACGCAGGGCGGTTCCATGCTCCCTGCCCCAGCTAAGGAAGGCTGCAGTGGGCCCTGTGCTGTAAGAAGCCAAAAAAGGCCGTGGAGAGGAGGCTGAAGAAGCACATGGGGCAGAGGGACAGGTGGAGAAGGCGTGCTTGCTGCTGGGCCTCCGCCTAGCCCAAGGGACTCTGGGGCGTGAAGGAGACACTCTGGAGAGACAAGGCACAAGGCATGGGGAGGCGGAAAATGGCAGCTGCTGCCTTATTTGGACTGTGGGGTTGCTCCTTTTGGCCCTTCCTATGGTTCCCTGCCAGCACGTGCCTTATACTCGTGGCAAGATTTGGGGTCTCCGTGGCCCCGCTTTGGGAGACAGGTAACTTTTGGTGGTCCTTTGGGAAACTCTCTCCTCTCTCCTCTCTGTTGTACACTATCCTATTAAAGTTCTTTAATATGGACAGTCTTCCACTTTTAGTATGTCTTTTGTCTTTATGCAGTGGAACCTATTTAGAGCATGCAAGATTTGGGGGTCCCGGGGAGCCCTTCCGGTTGCCCATTAACACACGCACCACACGCTTCGAGGGTTTGACAAAGGCCCTGGGGTGGGCGGCGAGCCAGTGCCAGGCCTCGAGGTGTCTGGGCTGGCGCAGTCCTGTGCGTGACCCAGAAGGCACACATGCCGCCATTGTCCCTGTTGCCGGGAAGCCCTCGCAGCAGGCGGCCCGCCCCCGCCCACAGCCGGCCCAGCCGCCTTCTTCCCTACCCTCCCCCGGCGGGGCAGCCAAGCTGGCAGCTGCTAGCAAGGCCTATTGTTCAGCAGTGACAAGAAATGGCTGCAGGAGCGCAGGCCCAGGGAAGGGCTGGAGGGGGGAGGGGCAGGAGAGCTGGAGAAAGGTCTCAGGCCAGCCGCGGCAGGAGGCCCAGCCTGCAAGCCTGGAGAAGCTGCGCTCACACACCTAACAGATCTTTATTTTTCACTGTCTCCTCGGGATGTGATTAAAGGTGGAACTGCATACTGTTTTTGCATGTTAGGGCACCAAATCAGGCTGCCTCTAGCAAAGAATTTATGGTCACTGTCTCCCAGCTGAGG